CGCCGCGCGCGCGGCTGATGCTGCAGTACAACAGGCGCAAGGTGCCCTGCTGCTGCCCTGGGCAGCATCGCGAAACTTCAGCGGTGACGGAACGGATTGCGGGCGACCCGCGCGACGGGCGGGCCGCTTGTCAAGCGCGTTGTGGCTTCTGCGACATCCACTACGGAGGCCAAGCGACGTCGGCCTGGACAGTAGTTCGAGCCTTTGGCTGCGTGGCATTGCATCGGGGAGTTAACCCACGCCCGCCCCGCATCAGTCGGCTGCGCGAGCGCGCGGCGCGCACGCGCACGCGCGCGACGCCACTTCTGCAGCCGCAACGGTGGCGAAAGTACCATGACGGCCTGGAAACCGCAGCTCGACACCAACGGTGGCCGATTGGGACCTGACGTTGCCTTTGATATAGTATGCCCATCGCGCGCCGTTCGGTGTGGACCAACGCGCCACGCGTATATGCGCGCGCGTGGCGGCACCGAGCTTTCCGCATCAGAGAATGCGCGACGCGCGACGCTGCTTTCGGTGCCATAATGAACCGAGGGCGGGCGGCGCTAGACTTTCGAAATTGACGGTGGCCCGCTGCGCGCCAACTTGCTGGGCCAGCAAAAGACGCGCGCCGCGGGTGCGTCGTGGGGTTCTGGCGCCCACAGTGTGGAGACCGACGCGCTGCTGCTGGAATTCGGAATGAACCCGAAGCGGAGGGTGTTCGGATTTCGGCGCACGCATGGCCCCATCGCGCGCCCGCCGAGCGGCGGGCCCACGACGCGCGCGCGCTTGGGCGCGCGTTGGGCCGCGCGGCCTCCAAGAATTAATAACCGCAGCGCTGCCTTGGACATTCGAAGCCCCCACTTCGCGATGACTGCCCATCTGTCGCGGGCCACCGCTGGCTGGCGCACCCAACGTCGACCGATTATGTAAGCGCGCGGCGCACGCGCGCGCGGCGGTGGCCTCTGCCGCGCGACCCAACGCGGCATCAGCCACGATGGTCCAAGCACTCGCGCAAGCCCCCCCCCCCAACCACCGCCTCCAAGTGGCGGCATAGGTGTTTTCGGATTTCGAATGTGACGTTGCGCCGACGCGCGCAGGCATCTCGGGAAGTTGCCTGCGCGGCGCGCGCGCGTTGCTGGTTCCAGAATTCGCGCAACTCCGCGCCTCCTCGGAACAAAAAGTGGGGCCCGCAAGATGGTGGCGATGGGCCGCGTGGACGCAAACGTCACCGCGGGCCTGCCACGCGTGGAACAGGCCCTATGGGCAGCAGCGCACGCCGCGCGGACGCGCGCGCGAAGTGGGACTTGAACTGCGAGCTGCCCTCGACAAAGAAGCCGTCACGCCGCAATGGAAAAGAAGTGGTGCCCTCAGGGGTGGCCGATTGGGCGTCGCCGCCAGCCCATGCGCGCCGCGCGTAAGCCGACGCGGGCCTGATCGCGTCGCGCGCGCGATAAGCGCATGGCCCCAGCGCCAAGGGGGTCAGCGCGTCGGCTCAGGCGTTTGGTCGGGCAATGAGCCGCGAGAAACAGTTGGGCAATAGAGCGGGGGCACGCGGGCACAACGCGAACCTGTCGGGGCTGGCTCGCGGCGCCCGTGCGCGCGCGAAGTGGAACGCGCGTTGCCCGCAATCGGGAAGTCGCAAAGTTGGCTCTGGCACCAGAGTGAAACGCCACCAAAACCCATATTTTGCGCTCAGCGTTCGCGCGGGCCCATCAAGCGCCAATCAGTGACTAGCGCCGACGCGCGCGCGCGCGGGGTGCGGAAACACCAGCGACAAGACAGATGGCACGTCGACTCAACCCAAGCGGGCAATTCGCGCTGGCCGATAGGATGCCATAGCGCTACATTGGGCCCGCCGCATGCAAGTCGGTTGGGAAATCACGCGGCGCGCGTACGCGCGCGCGTGGTGGGCTCTGCGCTGCCCACCGTGCGGACGCAACGGCGTTGTCTCAGAAGTCAAGGCGAACCCTTAGCGGTGACCGATTGGATTTCGGAAGCAGGCATGGCCCACTATGCGCCTTTAGGTTGGGTCAGCGCGCTGCGCGCGCACGCGAGACAGCAGCCCGTGGCTTCTGCAACACCAGCAACAGAAACCCGCCATGCCACCTATGAACTAATCTGAAGCCTACAGCCGTTACCGATGTAGATGCAGAAGTCAGCCTTGGCCCATGAGAAGCCAATCGCTTGGGACAGCGCACGACGCGCACACGCGCGCGCGTGCTGGGGCCTATATACCCCAAGCTACAAAAGGTACCATGGTGGGTTGCAAACCAATATTAAACCTCTGGCGTCTTCGAAAAGAGGAGGCTGCCAGGTAGCAGTGGCCCACCACGTGACACTTGAGCTTGGTCATCGCACGACGCGCGCATGCGCATGTGGCCAATTCTGAACTATCCTCACCAGAGGAACGACCATGCTGGCAGTGGACCTGGCGCGGGCCCTGAATTGTCGCCAGATGGGTTTCGACGTTAACATGCTCGCACCACACGCTAGGCAACTTGGCCAGCGCACGGCGCGCGTACGCGCGCGGTGGAGTCTGTGGGCCCACAAAAAGCAACCCGCTACGCTGTCTTGGGAACTGAAATGGCCACGCAGGGGTGCCCGCAACAAAGGGGAACTAACAACGCACATCACAGGCTGGCCGATAGGGCCCGCGCACGACGCAGGTACACGCGCGCGTGGTGGTAGTCTGTTGTGATGCACACTAGAGATGTCACCGTGTATGCGTGGGCGTCGTGCAGTAGGGTTACGCCAACGCAAAGAAAACTTGACAGTGCTTGCACCCCGATGTCGTTCGGCGATCCCCAAACAGTGTTTGCACCGCAGGCCGTGGCCCCAACAGACTTATTGAACGGCCGCCGCCAGTCCGGTGGGACCCCAAACTGGTTGCCCAATGCCAAGCATGATGTCATACTAAAGCTCCGCTTAGATTCAATCCTTGGACACCCCCTCTGGGGTATAGTGTTTCCACGGCCTGCCCCCCCGTCGTGGGCGCAGATCAGATTTGCGTTTCCTCGGGGGTTCTGCTCCTCTTCCTTGGCAGGCCCTCCAGTTGCCTTCTTCCTCCTCTTCTTCGTCCTGCCCCAGCTCACGATACAGCTCCCAACGTAGCCTCTGCATTCCCAGTCATCCTCTTCTCCTCGTCTGACCCCTCCTCATCCTCCAATTCCTTCGTGGGGCGCCGAGCGTGCCGACGCCCCGTTCCAGGGTTGTCGTGATAGCGCTTTGGCTCGGCGCTCTAGTTTCCACGCGTTCTTGTCTGCTCACGCACCAGAGTTCCAAGTCATGGCGCCTCCAAAGTCGAAGCAGCACGTCGTCGCAGAGGATGGCACGCAGCCGCCCGTTGAGCCAGACACGCTCGAGATGTTCCCATCGGGCGAGACCCAATGGGAAGGGCCGCCCGACTCCCTCACGGACTCTATGGTGCCAGAAGACTACGCCAACACCATTCCAGCTGAAGTGCTGCAGCATCGCCGCTCGCTAGAGCCAGCCCGCCCAGAGAAGATGGACAATATCCCATCGCCAACGCCAGGGACAGCAGGCAGTGCCTCATCGGGGCAGGCCGCGCCACCTCCAGTTGTACGCTTCGCCGATGTGGCGAAGAAGCTCAGTGAGGCTCCGACGCCGCAGTACTCGTTCAAGACGGAGCTCGCGGCAGCAGCGGTCAGGATCACACAAACGCCATCGGCTTCGGCAGCGGCGCCGCGTCCCCCAGACAAGCACCAGAGTGCCAGCAAGAGCGCTGCGGCGGCGGCCGAGGCTCCTCGCTCGCGGTCGCCGCCACTGCGTCCACTGAGGACGAACACAACCACGGAGAAGCTGAGCATGACGGCAGCGTCCCGCTGGCACAGGTGGGAGGACGTTCCGGTTGGCATCCAGCAGGGCTTCATCGACAAGTTGGGCTCGAGGTTCCCAGTGAAGATGCGGGAGCTGCCCGTCGAGAGCACGAACTACAAGGTATTTTTCGAGGTGGAGTGCAATATGGGCCCGAGGACTCGGCAATCGTGAGTCTCGCATTGCAGACAACAATCGTGAGCCCGCATCGGTGGGGATCTTATTTTGTTTGAAGTTGCAGCTGCTTAATCATCTAGCTGCGTAGACTGTTTGGAGTTATGTGGCCGCATCGTGCGGCGACGCTCAGAGGCCGCATCGAGAGGCCAAGACGCTGGCATCAGCAGATATTTCAGGCTGATGGTTGCAGGAGAACTCTCTCGCCTGATTGTCCTGATTCACTGCTCATCCTCTCTCCTCTTGATCCACGGGATGCCTACCAGCCAGTAAAAGACACCTACCAGACAGCAACCATGACACCTACCAGACAGCAAAAGACATGTACCAGGCAGCAACATAACGCGTACCAGGCAGCAAACGAAACCTACCAGACAGCAACATAACACCTACCAGACAGTACGCGAAACCTACCAGACAGCAAACGAACACCTACCAGACAGCACCATAAACCCACCAGGAAGCAAACTAACACCTACCAGACAGAAGCATACCACCTACCAGACAGAAAAAAAGGAAACCTGCCAGACAACAGAAAAGCACCTACCAGACAGCAACACAACACCCACCAGAAACCGACACACCACCTACCAGACAGCACTGCTAGCAAACACCAACCAAACAGCGACAGACGCCTACCAGACAGCAACAAAATAAGACCCCAGCAAAACAAGACTCCAAGCAGACAGAAGCGGGCCTCCAGAAGGTTAAAGACCCTGGGCAGTAGCAAGCGGTTGACGTCTTCTGACTACGTAATCGTTGTGCTGCAGTGGCGTGTCTCGGTGTGCGCAGGCAGGCATAAAGCCAGAGCAAATGTCAGTGCAGAGTGCCAACGCTGAAGGCCCCCCAAATTTGCCCCAATGAAGGCCCCCAACATGTGCTCCCAATGAAGGCCCAACTGGGGCGCCAGAAGCAAACGACCGAACACCGCTTGGGCTCAAGCCACTTTGGGCTCACAGGAGCTGGCGGTGAGAGCGCTTGCCCCTCCTTGCCGCGGCATTTGGTGCAGCATGGCTGCTTCAGTCGTGGCGGACGAGGAGATTCTGGGAGAGGGGCCTGATGTTGGAGACCTCCCGTGCTTCCAGTGCGGTCTCTGCGAGATGGACATTGCGCACGCAGACACGAGCCAGAAGGATTGGAAAGGCATGTGTCTCCACGGGCGTTGTTTCAATGCGATACGGGCCCACGACCGCTACCTGGAGGGAGCGCCGAAGCACGTGGTTGATAAAATGAACCAGGACTTCGAGCTCGACCGTCCCGCTTGGCAAGAACGCATCCGTCCTTGGATCGACCCTGCCAAGGTCGCGAGGGACAGCGCCAGGGAGGTGACCAAGAGGTTCTTCACCGTGACGGAGACGAAATCGAAAGAGACTCAGAAGGGGATCGATGACGACATTATCGTCTCTCGGACGGAGTTCATGGCGTTCGAGGGGTTCTGGCACAGGAAGACAGATGAGGAGAGCACGCTTGAATTTGAACGGATTCACGCAGAGCAGAAGGGCAAGTACGACGTGACGTGGGTGGAAGACGGTGAGGTGAAAGTGCTGCAGAAGATAGCTACGAAGGACATCGGCCGCATCAGGACGTCCAAAGGCGAGTCCAAGTCCAATTGCAGCATGCAGGTGGAGATGGAGACGTCTGCGTTCGATGCGGAGGTGAAGCGCAGGCGCCTCATGGCCAAGTCGTCGGTTTCTGCTTCGTCCTGCGATGGTCGAATGCCGCCGTCGCATGTTCCGACCAACGCCCGCTCAGCCGAGCACTACCTGACCTTCGGCGACGGCCGCTCCAGGGCCGACAGCGTGGGCACCTTGGACGCCTCCACGGTCGGTGTGGCGACGTCGCCTCGCGAGACGCTTCGGGAAGCTGAGGCTCCAGACACAAGCAAGGACGGCGCGAAGTTGAAGGAGGGGGCGCCGTCTGAGAAGGGCGGCAAGACCAAGCTCTTCAAACCCAAGTCGGATATCAACATTGACGACGCCACCAGGGAGCGCGTCGCGCCGACGCTGGAGGACATCGAGAAGATGGGGCCCGTCGTGTTCATGGAGGTGAAGCGGCACTGGAGTGAGATGGCGTCCCGCGTGCACGCTGGTTTCATGTCTACTGGGTCGGGCTACGTGTCTCAGCTCAGGGCCGCCAGCGACGCTGTGGGCACCGAGGCGCAGAAAGACCTTGACATGCCGACCGACGAGCTGATCAAGAGCATCAGCAGTATTGCGCAGGAGATTCAGGAAGGTGTCGAGAGGCTCGGTGCTGACTGCAACATGTCGAGCTTCGCAGAGATTTCTGCTAGGCTTCATTCCAAGATAGACGAGATCGAGAAGACGAAGAAGCAGGTGTATACTCAGTTGGACGGCCTTCGGTATCTCAACGAGAAGGGCGGACACGGCAAGCAGATCGAGTACATGAGCCACTACAACAAGCGCATCAAGATAATGCGCAGGCTGATGAAATGCAATTTCTCGAAGGAGCTCGCCGACAACATCTCCAGGGCGATCTACTCCATGAGGGGGGGCGCCGAGAAGAAGTCCTTGGTCAGCGAGCCCTGCGCCAAGGGCGGCAAGCTGAAGAAACCTCTGCTGTTCCAGGGCTCCGTGGCACTGAATGGCAGCAGCGTCGACCCCTTCAAGATCACGGTGTGGAACGACCCAAATTCTGAGGTGCACAATGCGGTCTCCAGGATGATTCAGACTAACTCCGAGGCCATCAATAACAAGATCAAGGTTCACGACACCTCATTCGACACCACAGGCCAGAACTGGCTAGGCTGCCTGGGTCGCGTGACGAGCGACTGGGTGGTTACCGACGTGGAGGCGTTGGGCGACGGCTACTTCGAGCTTTGTACGGGTGGTGTATCGCCGTGGTTGATGACGATCAAGGCCGATTGCCCTCGCTGGGGTCCAGCGTCCGTTCCTCTCGTGGGCTTCGAGTGCATGGTGATTGCACGCACGAAGGATACCCACATCATGTGCCACGAGGCGGCGACAGTGCTGCAGAACGGCGTGTCGCTCAAGGACTTCTTGAAGTTCGCGGAGACTGAAGAGGGCAGCAACGGCATCCAAGGCTCGAAGATTATCTATTTGAAGATTGGTGAGATTCTGCACGTGCCGATGGGCACGATGATCATGCCTTTGTACCACCCGCTGGAGCTCCAGCAGACCAAGAAGATGCCGCTGAGCCATCTCATCGTGCTGCCGCTGCTCCACGCGGAGAACGCCAAGACGGCGCCGTGCTTCAAACTCCTCCTCCTCCTCCTCCTGCCCCCTTCTCATCCTCGATCTTCCACTCCCTCCGACCCAAACCAACGAGTCCTCCTCCTCCTCCGGCCTAAGTTACCCCGCCCTGACCATTGATCCTCTCGCCCTCCTCCTCCTTCTCTTCCTTCTCCTTCACCCGCCGCTCCTAGGGGATAAAGGGACGAGGACCAAGGAAGAGGGAGGAGGAGGGAAGATGAGGTGGGAGTAGAGGGCGGATGAGCGTAAGGAGGGGGAGGAGGAGGAGAAGGAGGAGGAGGATCGATTAGACAATGAACGAGGATGGGGTTTCGGAGAACATGAAAATGAGGCATAGGACGTTCATGAGGATGGTAGTCTGGATCAGGAATCAACCCATTAGGATGACGACGAGACTGAGGATAACCTAGGGATAATGAGATGGCGATGAAAAACTTCAGGGGATGAGGGAAAGACGGTGAGGCGAATGGTGAGGATGAGGGAGGCTAGGGCGTTGATGAGGATGACCTGCATGACTACGAATATCACGAAGACAAGAATGACGATGACGAGTGCGATGATCAAGAACACGATTAGGCTATAGGGGAAGATGATAGGGTCGCGCGGGCGTGGATGACGAGGACGGGATCGGAGGAAGGAGGTGTTCACGATGATGACGATGATGGCAACGATGGCAGGGCATAGGGGGATGATGATGATGCGGATGGGGGCGGTAGGGATGGATCGGATCACGACTTAGGTGAGGAAGGGGGTGATGAAGCGGATCAGGAATTAGATGATGAAGGTGATGATGAGGAGGAGGATGAGGAGGCGGACCATGAGGGGGGGGTCGATGATGAGGCGGACCTCCTCATCTTCCCTCTCCCATCCAGGCGGTCAGCCAGGATGTGGCTCGTGCGATTTCGAACTACAACACAGAGTACCTCGCGGCGCAGGCCGCGGGATCATCCATGTACAAGGAGAGGGCAGCGGCGTTGGGCCGCTTCACAGAGATGTTGGGCCTGTAGGCCGCCGCACTACTTTTTTTCGAGCGGCGCACCGCACGAGGAGGCGGAGAAGGAGGAGGAGGAGGAGGAAGAGAGGGATCACTAGGAGGAAGCTGAAGGAGAAGAGGACGACGCCAATAAGTAAAGAGCAACAGGGAGGGAGGAGGAAGGAGGAGGGGGGAGGAGGAGGGGGAGGTAAAGGAGGAGGTAGGAGGGGAAGGCAGGTAGGAGGAGGAATGAGGCAGGAAGGAGGAAGCAACAAAGAAGACGATGCGCCGCTCGCACCTGTTTTCGAGCCAGGTGGCTCGGCCGTTTCGTCGAAGTTTGCTCTGGATGACAGGGCCGCCACCCGCAGGAATGAATATTCCTCCTCTTCCTCCTCCTGCTCCTCATCCTCGTTCTGCTCTTTGCTACCCCGTGTGCTTTCTCCTCCTGCTGCTCCTCCTCCTCCTCCTCCTTCTCCCTCCTTGTTGCCATATTGGCTCAAGCGCTGTCGCCGTCCGCTAGCCCCCTCCTTGTTCTCTTTTCCCAGTGTCCTGCGGGGCATTTGGGAAGGGGGGGGCAACCATTCTACCAATGCGGAAAATCCCTCCTACTCCACAGCCTCGTCCTCCTGCCCCTCGTTCCCCCTCCCCTCCCATTCTACTCATCCCGATGTCATATCCTTGCCCCTCCTTATCAAACTTCGTTTCCCCCACCGCCTCTTCCCGCTCATCCCACCAGCTCCTTCCGTGGCCATTTTTGCTCGAACCGTTCAAGTACATCTCCGCGCTACCGCGGGACCTGAGATTATAGTTGCTGCCATCGTTTTCTTGCTCTCGGCACCGCGGTCAAGCTTGCGTGTGGTAGCGGAGCGTTGCCAAGCGTATAGCTGGCGTGCCTTGTGATATGACCTTCAACCGTGCATGCGTCTTGGCAAACGCCAAGATCGCATAAACCACCGATTTGAAACCATAAGCCTGGGGGGTTGGGCGAAACCCAACCTTAAACCACGGGAACAAACCTTAAGCAATCCATGAACCACCGCCGAGTTGACGGGAAAGTACCCTTAACCTGCAAAGGTGGCTTGGAGAGTGCCTAGCCAGCCGCGCCTGCGGGGCTTCCGCGGGGCGCAGGGGTCGTGGGCGGAGGCGTCATTGGAGTGGTTAAAGAAAGGCATGCCATGTGAAGAAACAAAGAGGCACGTGCAGAACTACATGGGCGTGGTGGATCTGCGACCAGTCACGGACGAAGACCTGGTCAAACACGAGGACGAGCTGTACAGCGATGAAGAACTGGATCCGAGAATTGTCGACGCGGCGACAAGGCGGAAGACGCGCGCGGGAGGTGCGTCCATGGAGAAAGAGGACAGGCGGACAAATGTAGATGCGGAGTGCGAAAAGGAGAGGGGCCGGGAGGCCATGGCCAGGGGCGACGCCGTGCGGGGCGTGAGCCTTGGTCGGATGAACGGAAAGCGCAAGAAACGCGGAGGGGGCGGTGTGTTGAGGTGGGATGACGCGGAGGTGCAGAAAACGCAAGCGGTGGCCGCGGCGTCGAGGGCCGCAGAAGGCAGCGGCGCGGGCGGGGGGGAAGGTGCCCCGGGGGGTTGTGGCGGCCAAGAAAGCAACAGCGTCAAGTGTGCGGAGATGGAGGGAAGGGCTTGCGGAGAACGGGTTGAACGCGGGACAGCGTAGCGTCGTTGAGAAGAAGGTGGCAGATCGCGTGTTGGCGCGAGAATTCGGGAGGTCCGCGAGCGGCAAGAAAACAGGCCAGAGCGGTTCTGATATGCAGCCCTTCGTGTGGATGTTGCACGGTGGCCCGGGGACTGGGAAGAGTTTCGTCATAGACAAGATCCGGAAGGAGCTGTTCGAAAAAGAGCTGGGGTGGACGCGCGGCATAGATTTCCAGGTGGCAGCGTTGCAGGCTACAAACGCGTCAGCTCTCGACGGGGATACGATTCACAGTGCATTTGGGCTCGGTGTGAACACAGCGAAAGAGAAGGACGCGGCGGGCGATGCCAACGCAGAGACAAAGAAGAAAACGAAGAAAGAGCAAGCAGCGCAGCGCATGTCACAGTGGAAGTGGCTGATTGTGGACGAGGTGGGCATGGTCAGCGCGAGCTTCATTGCAGAGCTAGACTCACACTTGCGGTCGTGGATGTCAGCTGCAAGCGACACGAAGGTAGGTGAAGACGGCGTCGCCAGGCCCTTCGGGGGCGTGAATGTGCTGTTCTGCGGGGAGTTCTATCAATTGGAGCCGCCATCTGGGACAGCCATTAATGCGCTTCCCACGTCGCATTTGAAAAAATGAGGAAATACGCGCCGGGTGCCACAGAGGAACACGGACAGTATATCTTTTGGGGAGCGGGTGGCGATGGTGCAGTGCAGGGAATGACGGAGTTGACGGAGTGCAAGCGCGTGGAAGACCAGGGCGACTGGTTTCTTGGAGTGCAGGACGAGTTTCGCCGAGGAAAGTTGTCTGAACGCGCGCGCAATTTCTTGCGTGGCAGACCGGCGGATGTTCCGGGGTCGTGGGTGAACGGGGCACCGGCGTGCGGGAAAGCGCGTTGTGTCGAAGACAGAGATGCAATTGCGATGCGCAACGAGTTAGAGTGCGAGGCTTGCAAAAGTGAGCGGGACAAGTGGAAGCTCGTCGCGACGTCGGCAGAAGACGCGCGGTTTCGGGGGGGGAAATTTGTAGAAGCTGTCGCCATTTATGCGAACCAGGACATTCTTTGCCACGTCGGGAAGCAGAGAGCTGTGCAGTGGGCCAAAGAGCGAGGAGAACAGTTGCTCTGGGTCGCAGCCAGCGACCGCCCTTGCCATGGGGGGGAACAGAGGCGGCCGTGCACGGTGGAGGATAAGGTACGTTGGTTGGGGTACCACGAGAAGGAGTGTGCAAGCCTGCCCGGGTGGCTGCCACTGGCCAAAGGGATGCCCGCGGCTTTGGGAGATCACTTGGATCGATCAAAGAAGAAGCTCCTGCGGGGGCGTACAGCGACGATCCATGGATGGGTGTTGCACGAGGACGAGGTCACTGGGGATGAAGACGAGGAAGTGTTGTTGCATCTACCGAGAGTGATCGTGTTGAACTTCCATACGAAGGAGTGGCACCTGCCAGGGTGGGAGCCAGGGCTGTATCCGATCTTCCCATCGAAAGGGCGGCAATGGTTCTTGGACGGGCATCGGAAACATCCAGTGTTGAATGTGAAGCGCACGCAGTTTATGATAACCCCGTCTTTGGCAGTGACGGCGCACTCTGCGCAGGGCCGGACCATGGCCGCAGTGATAGCTGACCTTGAAAGAGGGCGAGGCGTGAGTTGGATGTCCAGTTACGTTACCATCGCGCGCGTGCGCAGGCGACAGGACCTTCTGATTTTCCGGCCTTTTGACAGGAGACCGTACAACGCAGGTGAGATGGAGGGCGCGAAAAAACTGCTGCAGGTGCTACGAGGGGAGAGCTTCGATTGGGATGAATTGGAGGCGGAACTAATGCCACGAGACCAGTGCGAGCGCTGCCGGCGGAGGTTGTTGGTAGAGGCTTTCACGACGTACGAGTTCCAGAGGAAGGACAGACCGGCGTTCTGCAAAGAATGCACGGAGAAGATGAAAAACGCAGGTGCAAAATGGTGCACAACGTGCAGAGGGTGGGCAATGAGAGCAGAGGGTGACGACGCGGCACGGCAAGGTAGCGGTCGGAACGCGGACGCGGCGCTCGGAAACGGGGAGACGAAAAGGATTAGGACAATGTACTGCGCAAAGTGCAGGGATGTCAAGGCGAAACAGAACTCGCGCACTGGCAGCGCGAAGTGGAACGAGAGTGTTGGAACAGCGCGGTGTTCGAACGATAAGTGCCTGTCGCTGTATGACGACAAGGCGGAGATGTCGGAATCTCAGAAGAAGCAGAACGCAGCGGGCCAGAGGTTGTGTCGGAAATGTGCGGGAGAACGTCAGAGGTCGACGCTTGCGTCGAATCATAAAAAACGCGTGGTCACATTGCGGTGTTCCAACGGCGACTGCCTGTCGGAGTTCCAAGAGGGGGCGGGGATGTCCGAAGCTCAGAAGAAGCACAATGCTGCGGGCGGAAGACTCTGTCGGAAATGCGCGGAAGAACGAGAGAAAGAGGTACGACGGGGGAATGCGGAGGCAGCGAATCGCAAACGGGAAGCCGAGGCGGACGCGAAGGCACTGACGTGCGCGGCGTGCGGTGGAGCGTTCTCAGACACGAGACACTTGAAGCCGACGCAAGTGGAACATCATAGAAAGGCGAAAGGAACCAAAGTGGTGTGCAGAGGCTGCGAGGAACTCGGGTTCAA